GATCTGCTTGAGACAGCCACGAAGAGATCTGACGACAAAAGATACTCATAAAACAAAACACTAAGATAGCAGATTTTACAGAATTGTTTTTTGTCTCTCCAGCCATAAACATATCCAGTTATAAAAGTTGAAAACAGTTGTTGATTGACAAAATCAGCAGCATAAAACAATCATAGGCATAGAACAAATAAAAGCAAGTCATAAAAATATCCCATAGCAGCCTCAACAGGTGAGAAAAATAGGCCAGGATTGAAATATAACAGGAATGGGGTAAAATTCAGTTAAAAGCCTGGGTGAATAAAAACATCATAGCCAACTAGCATGTAAGGGCCAAAGAAAACACCAGGAAAGCTTCGCGGGGGTGTGTGTGCTCCACAGATGGGGTGCCGCCACTGAGAAAGTCCTAGCTCTGGTTGCTATCCTCACTTCCGCACATGAGGGCATAGTGAGGGGACCTCAGTTGGCAAGCTGGACAGTAAAAGAGACGGTGGTCTCAAGTCGTCCAAGGCTTTAAGGATAAGCACCAACACTTTGAATTGTATCCAGTAACAGCCAATGCAGATGTTCCTGTGCAAGAGTGATAGAATCCTTGTTCTGATCCCTGTCAGCAATTTGACTGTTGAGTTTTGGAAGTGTTGAAGTTTCTGACGAGTTTTCAGAGACAGTGCCAGGCACTACACATTATAGTAATCTACCTTGGATGTGATCAATGCTTTGTTTATCCAGTTAATCACTAGGTGTGCTTTTTTGACGGTCCTTAAATTACAGGAACTTTGGGGGTGTACAGTAGGGATGGGCATGAAGTGGCTCATGAATGCCTCGGGCTAGCTGCGCAAGAAAGCCCCTTTAAGAGAGCCAGTTTGGTGTAGTGGTTAAGTATGCGGACTCTAATCTGGGAGAACCGGGTTTGATTCCCCACTCCTCCGCTTGCACATGGCTGGATGACCTTGGGCAAGCTGTCCTTGAAAAAGAGCAGTTTCTGTCAAGAGCTCTCTCAGCCCCACCTGCCTCACAGGGTGTCTGTTGTGGGGAGGGGAAGGGAAAGGAAAGGAGTTTGTCAGCTGCTCTGAGACACCTTTGGGTAGTGAAGGGCGGGGTAGAAATCCAATCTCCTCCTCCTCCTGGTCCCACAGCTCAGTCGTTTAGATTGGAAACAGCTGAGCTGCGGGGGGTAGCCTGTTCGCATGGCTCAGCTGTTTAGAGCTATAAACAACTTAGCTGTAGGAGCAGCCTGCCCCTGCAGCTCAGCTGATTCAGGCACGAACCTCATGAACTCAGTTCGGTTCTTATGCAAGCCGACAGGGTTCATGTGGTTTTGTGGTTTGGTTCCCATCCCTCGTGTACACCTGTTGGATGTATCAGGAGAGGATTTCTCTCTGTGGACATGGGAGGTGGGAGGCTGAATTGCCAATCCCGTTGGACTGTTCACCACAGCTCACCATAGCCTGTATTTTGATGTTATAGTACTCCGGTAGGGGACAAGATTAGTTTGTAAAATGCATTCTAGTCTGATGTTGCGTTCACCCCTGATTTATTTGGGGTGATTTTTAATTAAAGTAGGCACATTTTTTGCTGCACAGGTATGTAAAATTAATTTGTGCAGAAGAATATTGTTTTTATGTGTTCCATTCCTTCCAGAAGTTCAAGTAATGTATCTTCCAACAATGACCATATATTTCGCTATTTGACAACTTGAAAAAAAAAAGATCACTTCCTGTCTGTCAGGAAGATCTGATGTAGAAAACATTTTAAGATTCTGAGCAAACTCCAGATGATTGATCATACTCATAAAGTTAAATGGCACAGAGGAATCAATTTAGAAATCTCAAATGAACAATAATAAATGTATGCATGTACATACAGAGGTTGTAGGCCTAGTTGTTCTTTAGAAAATCTTTTCAAAAATTAACAGTTTTGGTATCCTACTCTCAAAACTGTAAGCATGTAAATGTCTAACACTCAGAGTAACAATAACATACAGAGTTTAAACCTGTTTGGTGAACAATATGGTGATATTAACGATAATTTTGAGAAGGTGAATTTGGGAGTAATCTTAAACAGGGTTATTCGGAATCCTGCTTGAGTCTCCCGGGAAAGTACGATAGTGTGTTTAGGTTTGTTCTGTTAGTTACTGTTAGGAACATCAAGCATTAATTTGTAATGTGTCAAAATTTACTTCTGTTAAGGTATCTTAAAGATAGTTGAGATGAAGGTAACTGTTGGGAATTGAATAACTACGTATTTTTGTTTAGGTGGGTGAGGCATTGTTTCTAGTAGACTACTTTGGGAAGAAGAGTGAGGTATAAAAGAAATAATAAATACATTCCCAACTAAAGAAGTGTACTTATGGAGTCCAGCATATAATGTCCGGAAGTACATATTGTGGAAAACTATGGGACAGTAAGGAAAACGGCCCACAATGTCTAACTTTTTCTTGTAATTATTTGCTAATGTATATTGTTTTTTATTCTTTGTTTCATTGCAGTTGGGTTGAGAACTTTGGTGATGAAGGACTTGGATTATTATTGGACATCTTGGAAAGGCTGGTTGAAGCCAAACAGTATGTACCTCTGTGGAAAATATTCTAACTTCTGTACAAGAGCAATAACTTGCACTTACGTTTTACATTTATTTCACATATTTTATTTCATTCAGACAGGATAACATTTTGAAGAAAGTACAACATAAGATCGTACAGTGCATGAAAGCTTTTATGAATAACAAGGTTAGTAACTTAATTTGGTTTAGTGATTAAGGTTGCCATCCTGTTTGTACTTCGAAGTAAATAAAACAAAATCAGGCAGGTTAACAATTTAAGAGACAGCAACGATATAATAATTATAACATAATAATGCAAGAAAAGCAGACAAATGAAGCATCCCTAACAGTTATTCAGTATACCAATTGACAAACCCATGACACTTTTTAACCCTGATTCCTGAATAAGCTTGGCAATCATGGGATAAGGGGATAGGTTAAACAGCAAGAATAAATGGATGGGGCCATCGGTCATTGTTAGGGCATCTGCTTGGCATGCAGAAGGTCCCAGGTTAAATCCACGGCCTCTCCAGTTAAAGGGGTCAGGCAGGAGGTGATGTGAAAGACCTCCCCTTGAGACCCTGGAGAGCCGCTGCAAGTCTGAGTAGACAGTACTGACCTTGATGGACCAGTGGCCTGATTGGCTGGTAAAGCAGCTTCGTTTGTGACAGTTCTTGCAATGGAGAACAGTGAGCAGTGGGGTCCCACAAGTACTGATACTGGGAATGGTGCTATTTAATTTGTTCATAAATGATCTGGAATGGGGGGTGAGCCGTGTAGTGACTAAGTCTGTGGATGATACCAAATAATTTAGAATGGTGAAAACCAAAGCAGACTGTGAAGGAGCTCCAGAGAGGATATCCGTAATGCCAGGGTCTCAGAGTTGCTTTGATGTGCTTCAAAGTATACATATCTCCGAGACCACAACAATAGGGAGAAACTTTTAAACTTTTTGGAAACATAGTATATTTCCTTTCTCTCCTCCTCCTCCAATAAAATAAAAATGGGAGGGGGTGAAATTTCTGCAAACAATAATGGTTTTGCTGAATACTTTTTACCTTAGTTTAATACTTCAAGAACATAAAATGTGATATGCACAATATATGTATTCCTTTTGGTTTATTTATGTAATGTAAAAGTGTTATTTTCACAAGAAGAATAATTAGATATACCGACTGTTGGAGATGGAGCAGCCATAAAGAACCCCAAGCACATCTCAGTTTTTTTCCCAGTTGGGAAACACACACAAAAAAGTTGAAAATAGCCCTGATGTGGATAGCCCAGGCAAGCCCAGTCTTGTCATATCTCGGAAGCTAAGCTGGGCCGACCCTGGCAAGTATTTGGATGGGGGACCTCCAGGGAATACGAGGACCGGGAGGGCAGAGGCAGGATTTCAAGTCACTTCTCTGAACGTCCTCTGTGCCCCAGTAAGAGTCGCCAGAGGTCACCTTGACTTCCTGGCATGCATGCGCGCACAACCCCCCCCCCACGGAGATTGAAAGAAAAATATTGAAAATATAAGTCATTAACACTGTAGTGAGCAAAATGATGTATTAATTATCCAGACTTAGAAGTGGTTCACTTTCATACAGATAGCATTAGCCATAAACAAGACTCAGATTCTGTCGAGTTTAGAAAATTAGCCTGTAAGGTTTTAAATAAACATCATTTTTGAGGAAATTGACAGTGCTTGGGGGAAGCATTCTTCTCCATAGGATGCTCATATTCTCTGCTCTCAAAGTCCTCTTTTAATGTCACGCAGTCTTAAATTGTTAGCTACCTTCTACTCAGAAATGCTTTCTAAGCATGTTTTTAACTTTGCCTCCGTTTTTCCCTGTTGTGTGGAAAAAAGACGAGGTTTTGTTCTTCCATTGGCAAACATGGAGAGGGAGCAAGGGAAAGAATATTGTCTAACTTCCATGAAATTTTTTTACCCCAGTCTTCTCATCTTCATGGAACGTGTATATATGTTGGAAGCCAAAGCCAGTTAAAGAAAAAAGAAATTCAATATTGACATGTAAGCCATGCAGAAAAACAAAATTGTACAAGTTGCAGTTGTCAGGATTGAAACAGGCAGGTCATTTTGGGTATGAGTTCCAGTAACTGTTGATTTATTTAGTTGAGAGGGGGAAAACATTTTAATGGCTTCCATGCTTGTCTGCTTTATGGACAGATATGTATGTATGCATTTAAATAGGAAACAGTCCAGCAAAGCAAGATACTGCTTGTGGCAGTCTTGATCAGCTGCTGAAAACTTTGTGTACATGGTTTGTGAATTGTGTGTCTGAGAGTACTGTCATCACACCGCTGTTGCTGTTTGCAACCTTTCCAGAAAGGGTAGCTTTGCTTCACAAGAGGTCGGGAGACCTGTTGGCCTTGTGGACCTGGACCTTCTTGAACAGTATTTTAGTTGACTGAACATTACGCTTCCCGCTAAACAATTTCTTTTTCCTCTTCAGTATGGTTTGGAAAAAATAATGGGTGAGCAGAGAAGTCTTTTGCTACTGGCTAAGGCTATCGATCCCAAGCAAACCAATATGATGACTGATGTAGTTAAGCTTCTTTCTGCGATATGTATCGTTGGCGAGGAAAACATGTAAGTAAAGTATTGTTTGAGTGGCGAGTCTGTTCACAAACACTGAAAAGAATTGTTGTAGTTTAAACTAGTGCAGCATGAGTTATAAGCTGTGCGCCAGGATGGAAAGAATAGTTTTGAAAATAAGTAGTGCAACCAAGCCATGAGGCTAGCCAAAAAGCTCCGTTTTTGAAGAGAACCTCCTGAAAACAATGGTTTGTTTACAGATCTGTTTTTCAAACATCTGTGGAACCATGACAGGGACATGGGCTTTAGAAAACAAAAATTCCATACCAGTTGCCAGATTCTGAATTAAATTCTTTGTGTCTAGGTAACTACAGCCTAGCAATTCATTATAGGTTGGGGTTTTTTTTGGAAAGAGCTTGTAAAAAGCTTCAAGCACCCATAGTGCCTGTCAAAACAATTTGTTGTCCTTTTTTTTTTTTAAACGACAGCCTCGAAAAAATTTTGGAAGCATTGACTGCAGCAGCAGAAGAAAGAAGCAATGACAGATTCTGCCCCATTGTGGAAGGCCTTCAAGGGAATTCAGTCCATTTGCAAGTAAACGATAGCTTTCTTTGTGGCACTTCCATACCAAATCAATGTAGCACTTGCATTGGATTTACTTGAGGAAAAGGAAACAGTGGGGTAGATGGATAGGCAGAGAAACATAGATGCGGTTATGCTGGTGGATAATGACTGTCCTGTTATGCTGAAGCTTAAACACACTGATACCACCTCACTTAAGCCCTAATAGCAATTTATGTCTATCCTCTCTACCACAATGAAGATAAGGGCTTAGACCCTATGATCCTGTTCCTCACACACTTTGCCCACATTGAAATCCAGGGATCTTGCACAAACAGAAGTACTAGTGGCAGAGGAAGCAAGCTGAGTTGTGGCAGGAATGAAGTACATGTGGAACATGGTCATAAGATCCAATCCTACATTGGTAAGATCTTAAGGTAAAACAGTGCTGGGTTAGATCAAGATGGGTAGCCGTGTTAGTAGGAAAGAGCAAGAGTCCAGGAGCATGTCAAAGACTCAAGATTTGTGGAAGGATAGGAGCTTTCGGGAGGTACTGCTCACTTCGTGCTGGGTTAATTCAGACTGGTGTACAATTTGAATATAAAATAAGGGTCTAAACTGACTAACTAGCTCCTCAAAGATACTACGCTGAAGGCAAAGAAGTCTTTGGCTCTTCTCTGTTTGGCAACCGGAGCATTAAAAGATCTCTAGATCTTGGAAGAACGAGCTAAAGTGCACACCATCCAAGCAACTGGTATTCTGACCCCCCCCCCCCAGTATGGTGGGAGTTGGGGAGGGGTGACAGAGCCGAAGTTAATACTGTATTTAGAAAATGTAAGCCCTTTTGAGGATCTTGTGGTCAAACAGGGTGGTAGCAATCTAGTTAGCAAACCAAGGACTTGATCAGGTTGAGAACTCCACACTTTTTGGAAACTTAATGCAAAACCTCCTGGGAGATTTTTGACATACAAAACAAAGTCCTCGATTGTTAGATAATGATCTGCTCATGTCTGTCCACTTCCTGAAGCCTGTAGTCGCCCTGCAAAACTGTAGAGTAGCTTATACTGAAAAGTAATGCATATGAATGGGTTAGTACTAAACAGTCCAAAACCTCTCAGTCTTCAGCTGATCCCCTAGCTGTTTTCATGCGGTTCCCTGATCCTTGACGACCGCAAGCTTCATTGGTTAAGATCTTGTAAGAAACTTCTGTAAGCATCTTCTCACAGCCAGGCTGATAGGTATGTTTTTCTTTAAGGGGGCAGTGGAAATTATGATGGTCTAGTTTTTGAAACTGTGGCAAAGGCGTGGCACCATGCTGTTCTCCATCCAGCAGGTCTTGGTAATTAAGGTTAGCCCTTGCAAGCCCTCCTGCCTATTTTGTAAATATTTCCTTCTTCAAATATTTCCTTGTCTACTTAGCCCCTACAGATAAATGGATCTGATATTTGTCTTGGACTTGAAAGTTCAAGTGCTTCAGTTTTTGTATGTTTTGGAAAAAAAAATCCACTTAAGAGAGCTCTTGAAGTGTGCATGTCTGCATTAGCATAGCACAGCAGGAGAGCTCCTGAAAGGAATGCAGTTTTTCCCATGAGGCCGTAATAGATTATCTGCAAGAGGGAATTTCTGGTACGAGTTGAAAAGGTTTTCCTGCAAAACATTGCACAATCTTGGTTAACATTAATATTCTTCAGTACCTAAGAGCCTGCCTAGTGATCACGTTTTCTCCCACCTTTTCCCCACGGATCTCAGGCAGTTCTCGTGCTTCTCTCCTCATTTTGAACTCATACCAAGCAGGTTGTTGGTGGTGGGAAATGCCATCGAGTCGCCGTCGACTTACGGCGATCCCTCATGGGGTTTTCAAGGCAAGATATATTCAGAGGTGGTCTGCCATTGCCTGCCTCTGCGTAGCACCCCTGGACTTTCTCACTGGTCTCCCACCCAAGCAATGCTCCCTCTAAGCTATGGAGTCCTGTGAGCAAAAATTCTACTTTGTGGGCTACTGGCATTAAAGTTGTGAGCGAGTGATCTGGCTGCTGCATAAATCATTTTGCTCTGGAGCCATCCCTTCCTGAGCTAAGACAAAAAATGTGTGAGCTGAAGGCTAAAAACCTGTGAGCTAGCTCACACTAACTCAGCTTAGAGGGAACTCTGCATCCAAGTACTCGCCAGGGCTGACCCTGCTTAGCTTCTGAGATCTGACAAGAGCGGGGCAGCCTGGGCCACCCAGGCCAAGGGCTGTGAAGCAGGTTAGGTTAAGAGAAAGCAACTTTCCCGTGGTCAGCCAGTGAACCCACAGAGCACACTGGGGATTTGACTCTGGGTCCGTCCAGTCTCAGGCCACATTGACTGTTAGTGTAGATGCTATTTTATAGTTGTACCAAATTGTCCCATTCCCCCAAGTCAGGAATCTGGAAGGCTTTACATGCTGGGCTCTTTGTGTAGCAGGAACTCCTTTGCATATTAGGCGACACACCCCTAATGTAGCCAGTCCTCCAAGAGCTTGCAGCAGCCCCTGTAAGAAGAGCTCTGTAAGCTCTTGGAGGATTGGCTACATTAGGGGTGTGTCGCCTAATATGCAAAGGAGTCCCTGCTACAATAGGATATGATTAGATCACCGGATACCTAAGACCGTCACAGCAGAGCAGTCCTTGACAAGTGAGGAGGACACCATGACCCTTCCTCGTGGCGCACCTTCTGTTTCTTTACAACCCCCCTGACGACCTGACGGAGCTGACTTCCATAGCAGTTCCTTAGTGAACTGTGGAAGCTGGAGTGAAGCTGCTCCACCCTCTTGAGTAGTTCTCTGCTTTCCTGCCTGTTAGGTACAGCTCCCCCCCCCCAGAAAAAAGCCTTACCTAAGAAGGGGGGAATGGAGTGGCATTTCAGAATTTTGGCTGGCAGCTCCCACTGAGCCTCTTAGGCAACGAACTAACGCACCAGCCCTGCCTTTTATTACAAGCTGAAATCTGCACATAAAAGGCAGGCTGTAGCACTGCTTAAGAACCTGGGGAGGAGCTGCCGGCCCACCCTGTTAAGTAGCACTCCAACCCCAGGCTTTTAGGCACTGCTTTGCCAGAGGCAGGGAATGGAGGGATACGGAAGAGGGTGGGCTGGCAGCCCGAGCCCCACCTCCTAGGGCTTCTGCTGCAGACGGGAACCAGCGAATCAAGCAGTTCTCCCCCTTCTCAAAAGCCTTGCCTACAAAGCAGGGTTGGAGCTCTGCTTCAAAAGGCAGAGCCAGGGAGCACAGTGCAAGGAGAGCCCAGGGAGGCAATAGATAGCAAGTGCATTTTTCCTGGGCAGATTCTTTATCACTGAGTTGCAAGCATTAAACAATAAAATGGCTTAAGTACATGCACCTGCCCCACCTGCTTTCAATTCAAAACATGGCCTCCTGGGGAATCTTTTCTTTTTTAAAACCCTAGGAGGATTTTATTACATGCTTGTGATAATATATACTTTGCCTGTAAGATATGGCATGTTCATGTCTGAAGCAATGTTCTGCCTCTTTTTTCATTTTTTTAATGCTGCCTGCTATTAATGCAGAATGTGCGCTATCTGGAAATGGCTAAAACATCCTCCCTCCCTTTCCATATACTAAAGGGAGAACTGTCAAAAGGTTGACTAGGAAGGCACAAGAAAAAAGGTTCTGTTGCACTTGCAAAGCCCTTCCCTTTAAAAATTCCCTTTAAAAGTTTTCAAACACTCTCCTTAGCGAAGGTCATGGCATCTCCGTGCCTCTAACGCCACCAGAATTACACAGCTTAGTTCAAAGCGCAATATGCATTTCTCTGGAATTACTATAGTTGAAGCCATAGACAACTTTCTAAAAAATTTCAGAATATAACAAAATGCAAAAAGAAATGAGCAGTGACTAATGGAAGCTCATATCCAGCCACAAATTTTGTTAGTCTTTAACGTGCTACTAGACTCTTGCTTTTTTCTGCTTTCAAAGCATTACACCTAAACCGGCACAAGGTACGCACACATGGGTCAGAATATCAGGACTTGAGGTGGGGAAACTCTGGTCTAGTTTAGACAAACAGTAGAGGAGAGATGGCAAAACTTTGGGTGGTTGGGTACCACTTTCAGACCGTAGGTGGGGAAACCCACGATATGGAACTACATATATACAGTGTCCCTGTACATAGAAAGAGTGGCTTGAACAGTTTACACCAAGATCCTAGTAGCCTTTCAGTTTTTTTAAACATCAGCAGTTAAAGGGGTGATGTAAAAATTTTGTTTGGTAATTACTCCTAGGAAATGTCTGTGCCCTCTCTTCAGAGATCTGCTTGAAGTTTAATGATGAATATACTGTCTTTGTTATGGCTGAGTCTGCCTCCTGAATTTTTGGACAAGCGCCTACATCTGAAGAAAAATTTGTCAAGGCCTGATTTAAAACATATTGAAATATGTCTCCAGCATGAGCAAATACTGAAAGCTAAATGCTGCCGCTTCAATGTTTTGCAGGTAGCTTGCATGCAGCTCATCAATGCCCTTGTTACATCACCTGAGGATCTGGACTTCAGGCTTCACATTAGAAATGAATTTATGCGCTGTGGATTGAGAGAACGGTTGCCTGTAAGTGCCCTGTACTATGCATGTGCATTAATATTTAAATCAGAAGACATGTGAGATGACAGGAAGTTGTATCAAGTCCCTTCTGGAATGATTTATAAAGAATAAGACTGTGCATTTAAAAAAAGAATGGAAACTTGTAGCTAAAAATGAAATAAAGTACAATTTAAGAACCAGCCGTTCTACGCTCGGAAAACATCATTTTTGTGTTTGAAAATCCCTCTGATCAAAATACTACATTTCATTATTCTGTTAATTGTTTTGTTTGTTTTTTTTAACTTTAGCAATTGAAATGCATGAAGAACGATGCTTTGGATATCCAGCTCAAAGTATTTGTTGAACACAAAGAGGAGGACATGACTGAATTCTCACATCGTTTAGATGATATCCGAGCAGAGCTAGAATATCCTTTTGAAATTAGACAGTGCCCGAAAAATTCAGTCTAGTGTCCCAAATGGAGTGGCTCTGTGATTTTGTAATCCTGGTGCACTTCCTGCTACAAGTTTTTTCCCCTTATGCCATTGAAAGTTGGGTATGCTGATTTTTCCACTAAAAACCAAGATGGAAGTTAACGGTGTGTACAGTGGCTTAGATCCAAACATGGTCTCTGATGAGTAAGACTGCCTCTGATAATAGAAGCCTACTCTCATCTAACTTCTCACTTTTGGGGCAGTTTTTTGGTCCACCCTGTTGTTCTCTTCATTACTGGGAAAAAAAGAGGGCACTTTGGGCCAGCTATGTGAGTTGTGGTGGCTTTCGTTAACTTACCCTAAAATGTGTACATGGCATCAGGTACTAAAGACTGACTTTGTTTTTGCTTAACTTAAGAGTCCAGGCTAGAGTTATCTTCCTTGACTTGCTTACTGAATCAAAGGATGTTTACAACATGGTGTGGAACACAGTTAAAGATACAAACGCGGAAGGCTATTTTCTGTCTATACTCCAGCATCTTTTGCTGATTCGGAATGACTATTATGTACGGTAAGGGAACCCGGCAACAACAACTACTATTGTGGTTAAGGGATTGCATAATAATTACCCATTAGAGTTTTTTCCCTGCAGGTAGATTAAAACTTTTAAAAGTGCTGTGAACTGACACAACTGATAGCTTTTTTTAAAAAGGGGCAACAGGCTAGTGGGGGGAGTTGTCGGGTTATGTGGAGTCTGTGAAGAGGATCAAGGTCCTATATAGTTAAAAGGTAAAGGTTCCCTTGCTCGAAAGCCAGTCGAATCCGACTCTAGGGTTGCGGTGCTCATCTCCGTTTCCAAGCCGAAGAGCCAGCGCTGTCCGAAGACGTTTCCGTGGTCATGTGGCCGGCATGACTAAACACCAAGGCGCATGGAACGCTGTTACCTTCCCACCGAAGTGGTACCTATTTATCTACTTGCAATTTCTTGCTTTTGAACTGCTAGATTGGCAGGAGCTGGAACTAGAGACGGAAGCTCACTCCATCATGCGGCAACTCGGGTCTTGAACTGCTGAACTACTGACCTTCCACAGCCTGCAGTTCAGCGTCTTAACCACTTGAGCCACCGCAGCTCCTATATAGTACAGGGCTGCAAAAAAGTACATCTCCCCCCCCCCCCCCCCCGAACACAGCAATATATTACTGCTATTGGAGTCAGCTTACTCTTGTTAATGAGTGTTCATGCAGATTGTGGGAGAACTCTATTCTTTCATGATTTGCAGAAGGTTTCTTCTTGTTTTGTTTTTTTTTAAAAGTCAAGACTTGTCCAGTACTGCCAGATGTACTCACTTGAACAGACCGTTCTTGTCTGTTGATAACCGAAAATGACACGTGGACTGGCTTTTTGTGTCCCGTGCTATGTTGCCTTTCCCACTGCTGTTGGTTGTTGCTGTGGAAGAATGCAAATGTCAGCTGCTGAACGTTGTGTTCTCCCCAATAGGAAGGAGCATATTCGTAAACATGTAGAGTGTCACCTCCTCTCTGCTTAGCAGGCAGGCTCAGCATCTTGACCACCTTCCTGTGGTGGTGGTGGTGATCATGTTCCCTTCCTAAACTCAAAAGCTGTGCAAGAGTTGCTACTGGAATCTCTCTGGGCTTGACTACTGCAAATCATCTTGTAGATATTACTCTGTCCTTTAGCTTTGCTGTTTTATCAATTTGTACATGCTCAGTTTTTTAATGTGGGTCATCATGCCAGGTAAATTTGGACTTGTGGGTCACCAGCAGTGCTCCCTCTAAGCTGTGGAGTCTTGTGAGCAAAAATTCTACCTTGTGAGCTACTGGCATTAAAGTCGTGAGTGAGCGACTTGGCTACTGCATACAGTCTGTCAGGCATTTATTACGGCAACAAGCCATAGAACACAAATGCTTAAATATAACATTCATATAACTGAATTTAGAACAGTAAAATAAAACTCTATAAAAATACAGTTGAGCGTAATAAAGTAAAAGAAGAACATAAAACAGAGACTATTAGGCAACTATTATTATATATTTGATTGTGTATTTTGGATGCAGTAGCATGCTACCCAAAACTTTGCCACAGTTTTGGTAATTGTCCAGTTCCCATCAATTAACAATCGGTTACATTGCTCAGCACCTGATTGTCCCACCATATCTGTTACGAGAGGAGTAATATATTTGTCACGGATCTTCTTATACCAGTTACATCTGAGCATCATGTGCTCAGTAGTTTCTGTCTCTCCTGAGCCGCATCAACAAAGTCTATATTCATTGGGGATCCTTTTGAATCTGCCCTCAAGTATCACGGAGGGGAAAGCCTCACATCTGGCTAATGTGAAGGTTTTCCTAAACTTGTATCAAGCTGTGATAAATAGGACATGGGTTGCAAGCGACATTTGACAGAATCTGTCTGTCTCTCCATGTCCATCATTCTCTGTTTTAGGGCTGATTTTGCTACATCCCAACACATATTCAAAAGCACTTGGGGGGAAAAACCAAGTTCATATAATTTTTTATGAACTGCTCTCAGCTATTTGGATTGAAAGTTGTCTGAGAGTAACAAGTGGGTTAGTCCCTGATGATGGAAATTTAGTTTAAGCCAATACTGGAGTGAAGCTAAAGTAATTTAGGCTTCCATTGATATAGCACCTGTCTCTAGACGGATCAGTGTATTCGATACACACCTCGGGACCTGAAGAACTGCTCTGAGAAATTTGGACTGAACTCGCTCTAAGGGGGCAAAACTAGAGGAAGGAGGCCAATAAAAGTGCCATAGAGCATCTGTCCAACTGCCTTTGCTTGAAAGAGTTTTTGGGCAGTTGGCACATAATAAGCCCCTTTGGTGCGATAGAATTTAACAATAGCATTGGCTGTTCTTTCACCTTGAGAGGCGACATACTGTATATGGGCTTTCCTTGCCCCATTTGATTGAAGGACCATACCTAAGTATTTAAAGCAGGAAACCTGCTCTAATGAGTGTTCATTTACAGACCAGATTATTTTCTTTTGTTTGGCCCGGAAGGCCATAACATTGGTTTTTTTAAAATTTATTGTTAGTTCCTTATTGTTACAAAAGTCTGCAAACTTACTGAAAGCTCTTCTAAGGCCAACTGGTGTTGTAGCTAAGATGACAGCATCGTCGGCATACAGTAAGATAGACACATGCTGTTGTTGAAGTTTTGGTGGATGTAAATTGGGGGAGTCAAAGTAACTTTGATCTGGAGCCATCCTTCCTGAGCAAAGACAAAAAATCTGTGAGCTGGAGGCTAAAAAACCGTGAGCTAGCTCACACTGCCTCAGCTTAGAGGGAACACTGGTCACCATACCAAAAAGGTTGGGAGGCAGAGCTTTAAACAGCTCTAATTATCAGGATTCAGATGCTTCCTTTTGGACATCAGAAAGCTTGAGAAATCTGAGGAGCAGTGGCAAGGAAATCTTAGGAGCTTGGCAAGGATAGGAAGTGAACACTTTCCACGGTGTGTTGAGGTCTAACTTTTATATAGTGAAGCAGGCCGTATTATAACAGTTTCTTTCCAACTTCGTTACCATTCACGTAGGTTTTATAAACAGGTCTAGTGGCATCTTAAAGGCTACCAAGATTTGATTCCAACATAATATTTTCGTTGACCTTGAAAATTGCTCTTAGTTTATTTTTCATACATAAATGTCACATGAATCACATGACGCTGCCTTCTACTGAATCAGACCCTTGGTGCATCAAAGTCAGTATTGTTTACTTAGACTGGCAGCAGCTCTCCAGGGTCTCCAAAGGTCTTTCACATCACCTGTTTTCTGGTCCTTTTTAACTGGAGATGCCAGGGATTGAACCTGGGACCTTCTGCATTCCAAGCAGATGCTGTACCACTGAGCCACAGCCCCTCCCATCTGATGAAGTGGGTTTTTGTCCAGGAAACTTTATGTTGGAATAAAAATATTAAGTCTTTAAAGTGTTGCTAGACTGCTGTTTTTGCTGCTCCTCTGGAACAGGTTGGTAGGTTGCCAGAGTGAATACAAATAAGGAAAAGTCTTGAGATTTCTGCTGGGAAGGGAGAGCAACCTGAATGCCTAAAGCAGGGGTCCCCAAGCCTTTTGACCATGTGGGCACCTTTGGAATTCTGACACAGTGTGGTGGGTACAGCATGGCTGCTGCAGGGGACAGAGGCAACCACAGAATGGCTGTTGCCCCCTTTCTTTTAGTCACACGGTGTTGCGGACGCAGCTGCTGCTGAAGCAACATTTAAAAAAAATCTGCACAACCAATCAGATCTCTGGTGGCCAGTCAAAAGTCTTGCTGGACAAAAGCCCCACCTGGCCCTGCCCACTTCCCCAGAAGCATTCGCCAAGCACCAGAGAAAGTGTTATCAGGGGCCATGGTGCCTAAAGAAATATGTAATAGAAAGTAGTGAATACAAAGTAGTCACATAAGAAAAATACAAAATGGAAACAATTAAGAACTTGTGTAATACACTACAGTAGAAAAATCCACAGACTAATGGGGAACTAATTTAATAATGCAACGTTGTGTCCGGATGTTTGATTACAACATTTCAAAGTTCATCCTTCATCAGGGTGTTCCCTTTAAGTTGCTGTGGTTTCCATACTTTTACTCACATGGACTGGGAACAATAACAATTCAATACAAGAACGGACGCAGATCTCCAGTGTGTAATCAGCTTCAGCAGCTTCAGACTTCCAGCGGAGCCGACAGCATCTG